AACAATTCACCCTCATCCACATATACATATGTTGTTCATATATGTTCATATATGATAACTTGTTCGATACACTAACTAATGTACTACTCCATACTAAGAGAAGAAAAGGGAGAGGTTTTTTTAGAAACACAAGATGTGAACACGTAACTTTAATATATGAAGTCAGGCACCTTAACAATTCACTCTCGCCCACATATAAATATGTTGTCCATATATGTTCATATATGATAACTTGTTCGATACACTAATTAAAGTACTACTTCATACTAAGAGAAGAAAAGGGAGAGGTTTTTTTAGAAACACAAGATGTGAACACATAACCTTAATATATGAAGTCAGGCATCTTAACAATTCACCCTCGTCAACATATACATATGTTGTTTATATATGTTCATATATGATAACTTGTTCGATACACTAACTAAAGTACTACTTCATACTAAGAGAAGAAAAGGGAGAGGTTTTTTTAGAAACACAAGATGTGAACACATAACCTCAATATATGAAGTCAGTCGCCTTCACCACTTACCTTTAAAAAACATTAGGAAAATCATAATATTTGTGGAAAGTTCATATTGATAATAATGACTGCAGCCTCCATGCTGAATTCAGATAAACTTTAGATGAAGAAGTTTAATAAGTAAGTCTCTTATGTGTTAATACATTAAAAACTTGTTCGATGACTACATCATTAGTTACTCATATACATCAGTAATTGTAATGATTATTTCTAACTCAGTATTTTTCTAGTACCTCAATCAATTTCCCAAAAATGATCCAAAGTACTCGAGTATTCTAGCACCTCAAATTTCCTGCAATTCGACATACCTCCAAAATTAAGGTCGAAAACAATCGGAAAGTATGAAATCACATAAAAAGAAGTATCGAGTCACGTAGGAAGGAGCGATTCACGGCGCCACGATTTCCCCGTCGATTGCAATACTTTTAATAGAGAATCGTGGCTTTCGTGTCGACGGCGATGTAACTGCGGCGAAAGGGCGAGCAGACGGCGGCGATTATCTTTCATTACACCTGCGATTCCCAGCTGCAATGTGTTCCAATTAATCGCAACGAGCGTCGAGGTCGAGCTAGGACGAGTCGAGGGAACGGGAGAGACGTGGAACACGGCTGGTCAGGCGTGGCACGAGACGCCGGAAGTTACGCGGTCCCGGACGTCACGGATTCGAACGGTGTTCGCGAAAAGCAAAACGTGATCGCGATACGCGTATAGAATTCCAGTGTCGAGTTTCCCAACGGCCGCCGATTATTTCTGCGCAGCCGATGGAAAGGTAACACGTGCGCGACTGTTCGCAAAGGGTGGTTAAAAGTTGGTAAATCGATCTGAAACGCAAGACTTAAAAGAGAAAATCGGATAAATCATTGCTGATACCTTCATGGAATTAAAGATAAAAGTTCTGCATTCTGCTACTTTCTCTTCAAATCTCTCGATAAGTTCAACCCTTAATTTTAGGTTAATTTGAAATTATATATATTGTGAAATAAATGTAGAAAGTGAGCAAAGCGAATTAATAGATATTCAGTTTGTTACCGGTTTTATTTTACAAGTGCATGAATCATAGGGTCACCCGTTGTACATGAGTGGTTAAAGGGCTAAGATCGAAATAGAGTTTCGTTGTACCTGATAGATGGTTATGCGAATTCATATTTTGGCTTCTAACAGGCATTCGGTATTGGAGGTTTCCAATTTTAGTTGGTAGGAAGACACGATAGTACGTCAACAGTTCGGAAGTTCGGAAACTAGAGAACGTAGTATCAAATGATCGCAGCCGTACGTCGGGCTAGTAGTTTGCAACCCCTGCTTAAACTTATTACACACTCAACGTCAAATATTTGCTTTAAATTTCAATAACACAGTATGGAAAAACTAATTAAGAAAGTTTGAAGTGTACCGTTCTCTTAAAGCTTATCAGAATTTTCCCAGTATCCTGGCTACCCTTATCAAGCCGGGAACTTATTTCGGTATCTATAGGTACAGCGCTTATCGCGATTTTAAATCCATCGGAACGCTAGTTATTATAACGTTCGAAACGGCACTGTCGATAAAATGCCGTTTAGTATTATTTAGAGCTCAATCTTTGAAAGAATCGTTGAAAAGCAACGAGTCGCGACAGTAAAGGATCACGTTCGAATTCGAGGAGCACGGAGGGTTGAACGGGCATCAGCCACGGGGGTAAAACATCGTCGACTAACCCCTCCTCCGCAACGTCCTCGTCCGTGTGATAAATGGACGGATGAAAAAAAAAGAATGTTACGTGCGATTCTTTCTCTCTCGCGTTTTCTCTTTTGACGCTTCTTCGACCCGCAACGTAGAATTTTTCATGCCATCGGAGAAAACGAATGAACGTTTCGTACCTTCGAACAAACTCGTTAGTAAGGCTACCTGGCAGCTCTGTACTTCGGATACACCATTGCTATAATTAATGCGTGGCGCTACTGCGTGCGCAATAACGCTTAGCGATTTAATGTATGGTGATATTACACGCGGTGATATTACGCATGGAATATTTATCACGTAGATGTAACGCACGATGCTACGCGTGGAATATTTAACACGTCATACGCTGATTTTATGTATAATACTGTACGCGAGATATCCAACGTACTCTTTGATATACCTGGGTTATTTGTGGGATATCTAACGGTGATCTAATCACACATGTGTGATTTCACATGTGTGATTTCACATGTGACTAGGATCACATACTGTGAGATATCTAACGTATTCTTTGCGAGGCATAGCGTATTGATACGTGGAGGATATAATGTGTGATACAACGCGTGAAATATCTAACATGTGGGAATACACATATGATATATGAGATATGGAACGCGTGAAATATTCAGTGTGTATATGGTGATGTGTGGGGTATTTAACGCATGAATGTATGTTAGATAGTGGATGCGATATCGTGTTGAATATTTAACGTATGATGTGCAATACCTAACTCGTGATACTACATGTGAAACACCTATCACCTGATGACAATATGTAGATACGTGAGGTACCTGAAGCTTAACACATTTCTGAAGATAGTTCATATAAAGATACATAACCTAGAGTAGGTTATACATAACATAACCTAGAATAGTATAATAGTAATCTAAGTTATGTTCATAAGCGCCACACCTATCACCTGATACATCACGTGAGGTACCTGAAACGTAACACATTTCTAACTTCTGAAGATAGTTCATATAAAGATACATAACCTAGAGTAGGTTATACATAACATAACCTAGAATAGTATAATAGTAATCTAAGTTATGTTCATAAGCGCCACACCTATCACCTGATACATCACGTGAGGTACCTGAAACGTAACACATTTCTAACTTCTGAAGATAGTTCATATAAAGATACATAACCTAGAGTAGGTTATACATAACATAACCTAGAATAGTATAATAGTAATCTAAGTTATGTTCATAAGCGCCACACCTATCACCTGATACATCACGTGAGGTACCTGAAACGTAACACATTTCTAACTTCTGAAGATAGTTCATATAAAGATACATAACCTAGAGTAGGTTATACATAACATAACCTAGAATAGTATAATAGTAATCTAAGTTATGTTCATAAGCGCCACACCTATCACCTGATACATCACGTGAGGTACCTGAAACGTAACACATTTCTAACTTCTGAAGATAGTTCATATAAAGATACATAACCTAGAGTAGGTTATACATAACATAACCTAGAATAGTATAATAGTAATCTAAGTTATGTTCATAAGCGCCACACCTATCACCTGATACATCACGTGAGGTACCTGAAACGTAACACATTTCTAACTTCTGAAGATAGTTCATATAAAGATACATAACCTAGAGTAGGTTGTACGCAACATAACCTAGAATATAACCTAACCTACATAATCTAACCGTTACGCTCCATAAGCCGTACATCGCGTAAAATACCATCCCTCAACCATCTACAAATAATTTTATTGCAACCAAAGCACAGCCTTGAAGTACTCGAGGGATTAAAATGCAACAAAAGGGTATGATTCTCAATCCGAAACATCTCAATAAAACGAGTTCCAAGTCTTACCACAGTACTCAAGCATTTTTGCAGTTCAAACATCGATTTAAAATGGAGGACTGGATATTGCAAAATGGTAGAGCTAGTAGTGTATTTTGAAAATGGCCTCGAGAACGGTTACCACGATTACGAGACGCGAATATACTCGGCCATCAGCAAGAACCGATATTGAACGTACAGCGGATGAAATTTCCTTACTCCGGCCAAATCCTTTCTCGCTATTCGCGCGAAATGCGAAAGCGACGATATTTTTTCCCGCCTCTCATTTTTATGGGACACCGCGCTTCGACTTCAATTTTGAATAACGCCTCATCTTTTTACCCCGTACGTTTATTGCCCGCTCTTTTCCCTTGTTTTGTCTTCGATATTGAAAGAGAAAATCGGAGATAAATTCCGTCAATGAAAGCTCTTACAAATATGAGACACGTACAGATCATTTCGTGATTCCTTTAATTAATCAAACTGTCCGAGTAATCTACGGAATCTATCTTTATAACGAAAGCGAGATTTACGAGCGAATTTCAGGCGATCTTTGATTCCCTCGAATCCACTTAATGAATATTAATATCTTCGATTCTCGATATCGAAGCTAAATCAAATCCGTCAATCGATCCACCAAGAATTCGCGTTTCGGTGATTTTTTCGTTCGGAAAAATGGAAGCTTCTCGTTCGAAATTACATTGTTTCGAAAAGAAATGGCGTACGTAAGACTTGGATTAACAGATCAGGTTGACTAGGTAATTGCCTCGAACAAGTTGATTCACGATTGGAACGCGTTGACGTATATTTCTCGCGAATTACCGCGAAAGTGAGACATTGCTAATATTTCACGAGAAAATTCAACGCGTTTTCGGTTTACACGAGCCACGGTTTGAGAGGAAACGCAATTAAACTGCCAAGAGTAACGGAGCAAAAGGCTGGCACTCACCTCAATCTGCTGTGCTCCGAATGCGGCGACTCCTCGGGCGATTTGTAACTGTTCCCGGTCTGAAAAGCAGAAAACCACTGGTCAGGAATTGTTTCGTTATCTGACAGCTCGATTGATAGATATCGACGATCGCATCGATGCGAAAGAACAAAGATGTAAAAATACATTTCGAGCTGACCTAACCTATATTCCTTCAGGGAATATGGCGACTGTATTTAGAATATTCTACGATCTTATTAATTACTTATTATTAGAAAGCACTTTGGGTCATATTTTACCTGGTGTCATTGTCAAGTCTCATGAAATATAAACCGGTAAAAGTGTACTGAATGTAAAACGTTTGAATAAGAAATAACTTTGCCATTGTTAATCTTGTATTTCATATTCTTCTCAGCCGTCAGAAATAACTATCGTGAGAAAGGTTAACTTTATACGGAAAAATACTTGACAGAAAACCGATTCATACGATTTTTGTCCGAGCAACGAAATCTCAATTCTTTTAAAATATCGTTAAAGTATAAAAAGACCCGCTGATTGCATTAAGATGTTTCTAATTAAACTCGTTTTATCACCGGAAGTATATCAATCATTCATATCTTTTCTTAAGAGTATCGATTTTTTGCTGAAATTTATATAAAGAGATATTACAAAAATCATTTAAAATACAATGACTTTATAATTCTGTCTAGACAGAATTTTTGTGGACACTGTTTTTGAGTAACCTGTGACACTTACTCACTAATGATTCAGACACTAAAAATATCAAACTTAAACCGAAATTTTAAAACCGGACAAATGACTGATTCACAAGTTTCTTATTTTAAAATGTAACATTTTAGACACTTTTCAATACACGTTTCATTAGGGAAATGAGCTTACTAAGTTCTGTTTGCACTTTTTTTATTTTTGAATGTGTTATATTCTGCTGCGAGTTCAAAAAGACTGAATCTCGGTTTAATACTTTTAACTAAATCTACAGTGCAGCACAATCGAACAAATAGAAGCAGCCAACCGTGGCAATCACAAAATAAAATAGAGAGACGGAGAAAAACTTTTGAAAAAATTCGCGAAAATCTTTAGTTGGTAGGTTACGGATTTATGTGGTAACAACGGATATAACTTCGAGTGCAAATGGTTAGGTCAACCAAAAAAAAAGAAATAAAATAGTGTAGATAGAAAAAATAGTTTCTATGGCGCGTAAAATTACTACGCATGGAAAGGACGATGTGTGGAGTTATGACGTACGAAACTACGGCGCGCGGAATTATGGCGCGTGAAACTGTGGCGCTTAGAGGTAGGTTGCGTGGTACTACGGCGCGTGGAATTACGGCGCGTGGAACTATAGCGCGTAGAGGGAGTACGCGTGGTATTATGGCGCGTAGAGGTACTACACGTGGTACTTTGGCGCGTGGAAGTATGGTGCGTGGAATTACGACGCGTGGAGTGACAACGCGTAGAATTACCACGCATGGAATTACAGCGCGTGAGACTAGAACGCGTAGAATTACCACGCGTGGAATTACGGCGCGTAGAATTACCATGCGTGGAATTACGGCGCGTAGAATTACCACGCGTGGAATTACGGCGCGTAGAATTACCATGCGTGGAATTACGGTGCGTAGAATTACCGCGCGTGGAATTACGACGCGTAGGATTATCACACGTGGAATTACGGCGCGTGGGACTAGGATGCGTAGAATTATCACGCGTGGAATTACGGCGCGTAGAATTACCACGCGTGGAATTACGGCGCGTAGAATTACCACGCGTGGAATTACGGCGCGTAGAATTACCACGCGTGGAATTACGGCGCGTAGAATTACCACGCGTGGAATTACGGCGCGTAGAATTACCACGCGTGGAATTACGGCGCGTAGAATTACCACGCGTGGAATTACGGCGCGTAGAATTACCACGCGTGGAATTACGGCGCGTAGAATTACCACGCGTGGAATTACGGCGCGTAGAATTACCACGCGTGGAATTACGGCGCGTAGAATTACCACGCGTGGAATTACGGCGCGTAGAATTACCACGCGTGGAATTACGGCGCGTAGAATTACCACGCGTGGAATTACGGCGCGTAGAATTACCACGCGTGGAATTACCACGCGTAGAATTACCACGCGTGGAATTACCACGCGTAGAATTACCACGCGTGGAATTACCACGCGTAGAATTACCACGCGTGGAATTACCACGCGTAGAATTACCACGCGTGGAATTACCACGCATAGAATTACCACGCGTGGAATTTCGGTGCGTAGAATTACCACGCGTGGAATTACAGCGTGTGGACTTACCACGCGTGGAATTATGGCGCGTAGAATTACCACGCGTGGAATTACAGCGCGTGGACTTACCACGCGTGGAATTATGGCGCGTAGAATTACCACGCATGGAATTACGACGCGTGAGAATACGGCGCGTGGATTCGCAAATTGTTAAAATTTTCCTCATATAAATTTAACTCTGTCAAACATACAGAACGGTAACCACGCGAAATAAGGTTGAACGAAACGATACTTATTTCTCTGTACAAAAGCCATGCCACCGGAAATCGTGCGATAAATCGTTTCGCGAAGTCGCGAACGGCCATAAAGCCGCTAAAGAAGACCGACGATATAAGTTCCTCACCCCCGTTCTGTCAGCCGAACTCGCATTTCCATAGCAATATTCCGCGAATATCGAGTTCATAGTTAACGTCACCTAAAGCGACCCGTTGGCCGGGCGTTCGAAACAGCCGCGGAAACGAAAGCCGGAGAAAAGCTGAGCGGCGATATATCACTGGCACGCTGCTGGCAAAGTAACGAGAATTTATGTCGATTAGAGGGACGCGGAAAAAGGAGAAGAGGAAGGAAAAAACAAACGTCAAGGGAACGGTGGGTTCGCGGGTCCAGCCTGATACACGTTTCCATCGGGCGACTCTCGCGTCGTAAATTTCTTCGTTAGGGGCGATTCCGCTCGTTCGCGTTGCACGACGAGCAAACAAGCGGAATAGACCGGGTTATCGACGATGCAATTATATCCCCGATCGACGGGGACGACTGCACCGTGGCGATAGTTATTAGCGAAATGATATAATTATCTTGGAAACGATTAGTTCAACGATCGTGCCCTTTCTCTACTACATCTTTGTTCCCACTCGTTTCGGATTTATGTTAGCGATACATGGTATGATTATCGTGCTATGAATACTGTCTTTGTACAGTTTTTTATTTTAGCGGAAATAAGGCCTCATGCAGCTGGGAAGATCTAATTCATTGTGGTACTTGCAGCGAAATGTCTATCAGTTTTTGAATCACACTTGTAGGTTAATAGATTATGATGTGTGAACAGTAGTTATTATAGCTGTCATCAAGTGCTCTTTGTTGTAAATATTATCAACTATCATTTGATATAAGTATTTTACTAGGTATTTGGTTTAAAGGAGCTGGTTTCGAACTTCAGATTAAGTGGCTACTTATACAAGAATATATACATATAATGTAGATTTCATATATTCAATAAGAATACACATACATATGATATACATACATATATGAGTATGATGTACATGATACACATGTATATGAATCCATCACAAATTGATCACCATGATACTTTGACCTCACAGTTTAAATACAAGTATCAAATACAAGTGATCAAATTAAAAGTTTACACAGAAAAAAATTGTACAAACATTTTACAAAAAAAAGTGTAACGTTTCTTCAAGCACTACATCCTCGATAAACAGCAAAAAAGTTCAGTAGCAAAATGTTTTATTTTAATTATCTGATTCTCCAGTAAACGTGAACAAAAATGAAACAAACGAATTGCCACGGCTGTGTAACTACTTATACTACAAAAGTAATCAAGATAAGTGATCAACCCGCATCCAGCTCTGTAACACAGTTCTCTTTCTGATAAATTTAAACGTGTTTTTCTTTGCGCACTCTCCAGCTACTAACGTATCTATTTTCTCATTATCACCGTAACCGCTCCTTTTCAATTACGATATTGCCTTTTTCCGGTGATCAAAGCACCTGTAGAAATCGAATCGGCTACACGCTTTCTGAATCGCGGTAACAACGATAACGACCCTTAACGGCGGCTGTATTAATCGTTATGGAAATATCCGCGCTCGCGGGGACAATGATGGCCCGTGGCTCGACCACTCCGCTATCGGCTCACGCTCGCATCGCGGATGATAATAATTGTTTCAATAGTTTGAAATTGAATAGCGGCCGTGGTTATTATTAAAGGATTACTCACGGCGGCAGTTGTGTCGCGGCTGTTGTTGCTATTTACGATGCGTGAAAACATGGGGCGTTGAGACATAACGGGAAAATATGCCGCGTGGAGATATCACGCTTGAAGACGGTCGGTGTAGAGATACAACTATGAGGTAACTATGAGGCGTGATTTTTTGACGCGTCAGAGTATGACGGACGGTATATAGGCGTCTAATTATAATTCTATAAAATTATAGAACGGTGATGTGTGAAAGTATAGCGTGAGAAAGTACGGAGCAAGAAATTATAGCTCGTGAAATTAGAGCACGTGAAGTTATGGATGCGTGAGAGTACGGCGCGTGAAGTTACGGATGCGTGGAATTGCAACGCGAAGAACTATGGTGCGAAAGAAAGTACGGCGCATGGGATTGTATTGCGTAGTGTTATGACCCGTGGAATTACAATGCGTGGAATTACGGCGCGTGGAGCTACTGCGCATGGAATTACGGCACATAGTACTACGGTGCGTGGAATAACGACGCGTAGAACTAAGGCGCGTGGAACTATGTCGCGTGGAGATTACGGCGCGTGGAACTATGGCACAGGAGAGTACGGCGCATGGAATTATAATGCGTAGGACTATGACGCGTGGGAGAGTACGGCGCGTGGGATTGCGACGCGTGGAAGTATGGCACGTGGAATTACAGCGCGTGGAACTACGGTGCGTAGGAAGGTGGGGCGCGCTGAATTACAACGCATAGAATTACGGTACGTGGAACTACGGCGCGTGGAACTATGGCGCGTGAGAATACAGCGCGTGGAAGTACGATGCATGGAACTATGAC